CCCCGGGGCGCGCGCACCTCGGCCTGGGCTGCCTTGAGGGCCGCGTTGCCATCTTTGAGGGCCGAAAAGATCCGCTGCTGCTGCTTGGTCAGCTCCATGTTGGACAGCTGTCGCGGGGGCGCGTTTGAATCCGCGGGCCGGCGCGGCGTGAGAGCTCACCGGGCCGCGGCTGCGGGCCGGGCCTTCGCCCGGCCTGTGCGGGCCGACTAACAATGACAATACAAATAAGGATCCCGAACAGCCAACAAACATACCGCCAGTGTACTGCCACCGCAAGGCTGCTGAGTCATGCTGAAACCGCCCAAGAACATGAGATCTGGCGTGGTGAGGTTGCTCCCACCATGTCCTCGACGTTGAGCAGCCACGTTTGGATGGTCTGCAGCTGGTGCTCGTTCAACTTCTTCTTTTTGAGGGCCAGCAGGGCGCGGTCCTGGGGGAGGATGTGATGATTGTATGAAGATATTACATGAGATGGGCATGGTGCAGAAAAGGGGGGCGGGGGCGTGCGGCGTGTGCGACACTTGCGCAAGGCCGGGCTGCTGCTGGGGAGGCTTGGGCAGCACGCAGCGGCCGCGGCCGCGGCCGTGACCGGCGGCTGCTCTTGGGAGAGGGCCGCGCGGCAGGGCGCGGCGTTGTGCACCGCCCCGCCCGCTGCTACCCCGATCCGAAGACCAGGAAGTCAAAGCGTTGCGAAGCACCGCCGCCGAGGGGGCCCCGGACGGAGACCCGGAGGCGGCTGCGTGGCGGCGGCAGCGGCCCTGCAGCGGCACCGCCACGTCGCCTGCAGGGCCACCGCTAAAGCTCCGGCTAATCGGCTCCGCTTTCGCGGCGCGGGGATTCTGCCGACAAAACCCTTGTTTGCCGCACCTTTTTGTTGAGCGTAATCAGCTCCCGCGCCACGCTCACATTGTGCTCTATCCGCTTCTCGATCTGCAGAATTCAAATCGAGGGAGCGACAGATGCGAGGCCGCCCTGTCAAACGGCAGTCTGCTGCCGAGGGTGGATGGCGGCGTGCGCACGCAACATTCCGCCGCGGCTGGCGGCCGCTGCGTTCGGCTGCGGTGCGGCCAGCGCGTTTCAAATCACGTGTGTGCGTCCGCACACGCCCACATGCGCGGGCGGTGCCTGGCACGTGGCGCCCCACAGCCCTCGTCGCAGGCGCACGGGGCTGCTTGCGTCTTCCCCCGCACGCCTGCAGCCGCCCCGCGCAGACAATGCGACGTCCCAGCGCCGCACCAGTTTTGATTGGTCCTCCAATTTCCGCCGCTGCGCCTTCAGGGACAGCACCGCCCTGTCCACGTCTGTGATCTCCCCCCTGCGAGCCGTGGCGCATGTGACTGTTGATCGCAGCGAAGCGCATGCGCATGATGCGCATGTGCGCGTGTTCGCATGCTGGGGCGCTAACTGGACAAACCCATGTGGGACGCCTGCGCGCGGTCAGCTTACGGCTTGGTATGCGTCGGATGAGTGAACAAGTTGCCCATGGCTCGGTTGCTGTCGCTCCTCTGGGCTGGGCACCTGCCTGAGATCGCAGTAAACGGGCAGCCCGCTTCACTTATTCAACTCTGATCAAATAAACTCTAAGATAATCAAAAGACCGGTGCAAAGCATGCGTACAGATCGGTTTGCTGAGACTAATCACTCTGCTAATCACTAATAATGTGGCGCAAGACTGCAAGCGTTGCTAGCAGGTGATTCACTTGACGCGCAGGTGTATTGGAGATGTCATGCACAGGCAGCATGGCTGAGCCGACCGGTTTGCTCGCCTGCCGCCGAGTCAACAGGCAGCTGCCTCTGCAGCGGCCGAAAACGAAATGCAATCCAGATGCCATCATGACGCCGTGCCCTGCCCAGGGGCATAGACCAGAAAACCCCTTGCCCTGTGTGAACATGGAAGGGCCCGACAGGCCGCTGCTACTCTGATGCAAAGCCATCCTTCCAAACGCAAATGAGGTGGGCGACGCAAGCCGGAGACGGCAGAGCGCGGCCGGGCTTCGCAAATGAACCAAGAAAAGGAGGCCGTCGCGCGCCTGTTTCTTGCCTCTTGCCGCTGCACGATCCGCCTGCAGTCCCTTCCGGGCCCCGCCGTGCCTCCGAACGCCCACACAGCTGAGTGGCTGTGGTATGCGACGCCCCCCATTACAGGTGCCCGATATCCTCAAGGCACTTGCTAGGCCCCCACGTGCGGCCCCTGCCTAACAGTACCCACTGTCTTGCGGCTGTCAAAGGGGGACAGCGCATGATGTCATCAACATGCACCGCGCACACGCGTGGGGCCGTCCATCCTCGCCTGCATTGGGCTTTGGCGGTGATTTCGCTGCTCCCATGGGCGAGTTTGTTTGTTACGCTACGGAATCGTAGGATTTGCCGCTCCATGGCGTTCTGCGTCACCACGCATGCCTGCAGCCTCCTTGAAGCCTGCAGCTGCCTCGTTCCTGCTTGCTGACCTGGCGGGCCGCCAACCGCCGCAGGCCTCTGGCAGGTGCATCGACAAACGCGCCGACCCAGGAGCCCAACAGGTGCTCGCTCAACTCACCCGGCGCACACACAGCCGCCTGCCTCTAATCGGAGTTTGGGTCTCTTTGGCCAGCATTTGAGCGTCGCGGGGTTGGTCAAACGGTACCTCACCCACGGGTGTTGTCCCAGCCCCCTCCTGCTGGCCCCACAAGCGCGCGCCTCAGCCGTCCTGGCGTTGACACCCGTTCTGAGCGGCGCAACTTCCCACCCGGCCCCCATGAAGCAGCCGTCGCAGTTGGCCACATCCAGCCGCAACTGTTTTTTATTTGGCCATTATTGCTGCATCGAGCTTTTGCCTGCACGTAAGCAGCTCGTGTGATCCACAAACGCGGGCACACGTCAGCTTGCAGCACTCAGCGGACAGGCGCAGCGTGGCCGATGCTGCGGGCTCCCGCTGGTTTAGTCGCATTCGCTTGTAATTTGGCATTCATTCACTCACATGGATGCCTCGATGTATCCCCTCCTGTGCAGGACCTTGATCACGGTCGGAAATTGCGTTCAACGGTTGCCCGCCCGGTGAGAAGCTACGGTAACGTTCATACTTGATTGAAGTGTTTGAACTCCTCGACTCATCATCAGTCAATGATGCGGCGAATCGTGCTAGTCGCGTCGCCGCCGTGGCAGCAACAGATGAACAGACTCGTCAATCCCCCCCTCCGATGCCCCGCTGAAATACTCACTCGTCGCAATATGCGTCTGTTACCACTCGTGCAGGGAGCTGCGGCACCATGTCGCCCCTTGGTCGCATTGCGACCACCTTCTTGCTGGTGACCGCGGTCACGTGCCTGCAACAGGCTCAAGTGACTCACGCACAGGTGGGCATACGCATTGCATCAGCAGCCTTGAGATGCCTGAGCCCCTGTAAAGCGGCCGAGGGCTACATTCCAAAGGCTGCGACCCCGAAACCCCGGCGGCCAGCACGCCACAACCACGCCGGCACCCTGTGAATTGCCACAACTGCCAACTGTCATGCAGGCAGGATTCCCAGGCAGCCGCAGTTGCCACGCAGTCGTCCTTGCCACAGTCTCATACTTGATACAACTAATGGATGCCTTTGGTCTGCAGTCCCTTGCACCATGTGTCAATCACCATTTACATACAAACTTTTCTGGGCTCACCGGCCTAACTGCATCCCCAGGCCACCAAGTTTGTGCCCTTTCAGTACAAGGACCTCGGATCCAGCTTCGACGTTGCAAACCCTGCCGATAAGAAGAACCCTACCATATTCAAGGTGAGAAAATATTCCATGCCCAAAACAGCCCCGGCGGCGGGCTGCGGGCCCCACACTTTTTATCGGCCCCGTGCGTGCGCTCTCTCACACACAGATCCCACAGCTGCTGGTGTGTGCTCCGCACTTTTGCTACTTGTGTTTGCCTCTATATTCGAACCTCTTTCTCCTTGCCCATGAGACCAACTCGTTATCATCATCATCAGCAGCAGCAGCAGCAACAGCAGCAGCAGCAGCAGCAGCAGCAGCAGCAGCAGCAGCAGCAGCAGCAGCAGCAGCAGCAGCAGCAGCGGCGGCGGCGGCAGCGGCAGCGGCAGCAGCGGCGGCAGCAGCGGCAGCAGCAGCGGCAGCAGCAGCAAGAGCAGCAGCAGCAGCAGCAGCAGCAGCAGCAGTGCAAGTCCTCAGAAATTTCTGTTCACCCTTGCCCCATCCAACAGGTCTGCGGTAGCCAGCAGGCGGTGGAGGCAAAGTGCTTGGCCACCAAGGGCTGCGAGGCCTACACCGTGTGAGGACAGGGGGTGAGAGCGGTGGTTGCAGCCCTCAGGGAAGAGGGAAGGGCGCAGGTTCCGCTTTCTGCCGTTGCCAATGCTGCTGCATGGTGTTCTCTCCAGACTCTCAAGAGGTGGCCCGGCGCGACGCCGTCGTTCGCCGCGGCGCCGTCGCGCCCCAGCCAGCGCACACGAATGCACGCCCCCCGGCCCTCACAGTCGCGTGCCCGCAGCTCGCCCCCACGCGGGGCCACCGCCGCTCACCCGAGCGTGTGCCCTCCGCTAAAAAACAACCCTGTTTCCGGATGGCCTTTCCAGCGGCGGCGAGAACACACCCAGCGGCCCCTGCGGCTACCTCAAGAGCTCTGGCGGCAAGGCTGGGCGCTACATCTTGGCAACAGACGCGCTGCGATCCAACACACAGGTGGGACAACGGCGCGCCAGTAAACCTGTACTTACGCATATATACGCAGTCTGACTGGAAGCCCCCCATATCCAATCCCCCTCCCTTGCCGCCAGAAGGCAGGCGGTTGGGACCCCAAACGGGGGCCGCCTCACCTTCCCCAGGGGTTAGACAGGCTGAGGCGAGGCGGCAGCGGGGCCGGGGGGGGTGGGGGCGAGTGAGGCCAGCTTGACAGTTTCGAAAGCAGTGGTCCGCCCACCTGAGCCTGCGAACCAGGCACTAATCGTTATCTTTCAAAAATGAGTATTGCCAGTGGCTGAAGCGCAGACGGAGGTGTTGGTAAAGCGGCGCGCGGCCACGGGGCGAGGGAGGGGAGGACCAGCGGGGCAGGGTCATGCTTGGCCCGCAAGAACGAGCAGCTGCACGGTGACGCAGCAATGTTTCCAACTGTAGCATACTGGCGTTGCGTCAGAGATGTGCTCGTTGGGCTGCCATCTGGCAGCAATGTCGTTGCAAACGTCCATCTGAACCCCATTTGTGCCCCGCTTGCTCTCTGACTGCCGATTGCATCCCTCAGCTTGCTGCACCACGCAAACATCCCCCCGCCCTGCCTGGCCCCTCGAGCACACGCGCCTGCCTTGTCCTCGCCTCTCCCCGCAGGGCTGGAGCGCCTACATTCTGAAGTCCGCCCTGCCCACCACACTGGGCGGCAACGCCACCCCCGCTGCGCCATCCACAGCCCGCCCCAGCTACTGCCCCACCAAGAAGGGCCCCGTCTGCTGCTACACCGCTGGGGGCCGCATTCTTGAGTGAGTGGAAAGGCAGCTGTGAAAGCGGCGTCAAAGCGGGCGCAGCGCCTCATGCATCTGGCCTGTCAGGAGGGGGGGGGGTATTTCAAAACCCCTGGCTGACGGTTGAGCATACTCGCGCCCCCACCATCTGTCCCCTCGCGCGCCCCCACTGCTGCCCATACTCATGCTCAGCTGCACAGCTCAAACCTGGGTGCTGACAGAGGGGGCTGACGTCTCTGCTTTCATGGAGAGCCTGGCGCTGACGTGCAAGGGCCGCCCCGACGCCTTCAAGACAAAGGCGGAGTGCTGCAAGGTCGGGGTCGGCGGCACATTCTGCGGTGCGCCCGCGGGGCAGAACAGCTGCTGGGTGCCAGCTGGCGGGAAGGCCTGCAAGCAGGTGGGCGGGGCGGAGTGCCATGGCTTCATCTTCAGGAAGCTGTGTGTGTGTGTGTGTGTGTGTGTGTGTGTGTTTGTGTGTGTGTGTGTGTGTGTGTGTGTGTG